TGGGACCCGTCTCCAGCAGCCCGGGGACACCTGGAGCAAAGCCGAGGAGGTGGAGGGGTCCCCCGCTTCTGAGGCTTTGCGCTGGCAAAGCCTCAGAAGCGCGGGAACCGCCGCTGCTGCGGGTTTGCTCCCGATGCCCCTGGTCTGCTGGGGACGGTCACCAACAGACCAGGGGCACCGGGAGCAGCTTTTCTCGCCCCGGAGCTCGAGGTGGCTGACCGCTGCCTGTGAGCTCCGGGGTGAGAGAGCTCCGTTCGTAAGTGCGGATCCGACATAAGTCGGATTCGCGTAAGTCGGGGACTGCCTGTACTAAAATCACAACTTTCTCATTAGAAGCATGACAGAAAAAACATTTATCTGAACTGCCCGAGTCAGATTCTCCTAATAAAACAACTACCACGATCTATTTGTAACTGGACTCAGAACACTGTAGAGCACTCAAGAAGATAAAGCAATTGCTGTCAAATTGAAAGTGGTTGGTTTTGTTTTTTTAATCATGAACACTATACAGACAACTACATGGTAGAGACAGAATTGTAGGGGACCTCCACTTTACAGTTCAGTGGTTTCATTTGACAATATAAAACTCAGTTATTTTAAAAAATACAGTAGTGTAGCAGAAAGAGCTAAAAGTGCTGAACACAGAGTGCAAGCAAACACAGCTGAAAAGACCCTCAGTACAGGAAACTGCTGGAGACAATGTACTGTAAATTAAAGTCAGTTTTCCTGGATTTTCTAAAGAATTGCTCATTTTAGAGAGTCAACATATTTCTTACTAAAGGCACAGAACTGAAACTATAATTTTCTTGGAATTTATTTACTTTTTCAAATAATGTTTTTAAAAACAGACAAGGCATGTATAATAAAGTAAACCCCATCTACTATATTTTTGAAAGAGTTTATGCGTCTGTATGGCTGCCCAACAATGTGTGTATGATTCTGTTTTTTCAAGAACTCCTCCAAAAAGGTAAGAGATGGGACCAACAAATTTGCTATGCAGCTTCCTCTTATAATAACTTAACTCACAGTAAAGGTTTGATTGTGCCAGGCCAATGGGATGTGCATGGAATGGGATTGTTTCTCATCAAACTGAAAGAGAGGACTGTGATAACAGGGACAGTTGTATCCTAGAATGACCATGGGGGAGGGGCTCAGCAAGCAAGTACACCCTTGCCACTCAGATAAACTCCCCCCTCCCTCCCGCCAGAGCTGTAGAGCAGCCAAAGGCCAAGCAGCATGGCTCCCACCATCCTGGCCGGCCCAGAGGAGAAATCCCTACCACTTCAACAGCTTTGGACAGCCACAGAACAGCTGATCACCAGGCACTGTGGCCCCTATCGGCCTGGGCAAGCCCCAAGGGAGCAACCAGAGGCCTGACAGCATGACCCCACACCACTCCAGGCTGGCCCCAGGGAGCAGACAGTGGTTGGGCAGCGCAGCGCCTGCTGCCAGGCCAGCCCCAGGGAGCAGTCTACAGCCATCCCCACCTCCTGTTCTGAGCCTCCCATCCCTGCTCTAATTCCTGCACCTTTCTTGCTGCCCTGAGCCCCTCCTTAGCTCCCAATCCTGACTACTGCACTCCTCTCCTCCCCCAGTCCTGCCCTGAGCCCTTCCTCACCCCTCAACTCTTGACTCTTCATCCCCCCAGCTCCAACCCCCTGCCCTGAGCCCCCACACTCCTAAGCCCCTGCCCTCACTATGGCACCTCACCACCCCCCAGCCCACTGCCCTGAAGGACCTGAGCAATGCAAGATAAATCTTCTAATATTATAATAATAGCAGAATCATCCTATGAATATTAGAAAAGAGCTGTCTTGCTTTTCCCATTTCTTGTTCCAACTTTTAAACTCATAATAAAAACAAAAAAAGAAAAAACATGATACCCTAATTCTACTCTAGTTGAAATCAATGGTAAAAATTTCATTGATGTCAGTGGTATGATAACAAAGCCTGAGGTAGAAGTTAATTAGACACAATTTTCAATAACTCTCATTTAGTTACGGAATCTATCAGCACAATTAAACCTTAAAAAAAAGATGGTACCGTATACACCTCGTAGGCTTAACTTTTTTACCAATTCATTAAAGACTCCATCCAATTTCACTTGAAGTAACTGGAAAGATTTCAATAGGTGTGGGGTCAGTCCTTAAGTTATGAGCCTTTTCCCTCACCACGTCCAGCCATATGTTGTAATCATGCATGCTGAGCTGTCAGAGGCATACGATATTTCTCAAATCATCAGCCTCTTCTATTCCCATACCCAACTACTCCACCAAATAGTCCACTGATAACCACTGTCCCCTATGAGCTGTGTGGCAGCACAGCTTCATGGGAGATTAATCGCCCCGCCCAGTCAGTCAGCTCCATGAATACAGCCTCTGACTGGGAAGGGCTGCTTAATCTCCTGTGAAGCTGTGCTGCTATGCATCTTAGAGGGAACACAGCTTGTAACTGTTTTTCTTTGACCATTTTTATTTGATTAACTATCTAAAACTAACATTTTATTATTGCAGGGCAAAATCACCAAACATAAATGAATGAATCCTATAATCACACCCCTTCCCAAACTTAGTAAAGCAATCCCCATGAATTTTTCTTCAGACAATCTGATGAACCATACCATTGGTACTTTACTTTGTAAGTTCTTTATAATAAAATTATTGTTCTTTAGTTCTAAGAACTTAAAAAAAAGTCTACATATTTTAAACCTATGATCTGTTATTGTGCATTTCAACTGTTTCCAATGCAACGGCTCTAGGAGTTCCTCTCTGTGGTATGTTTACCATTCCAGAAGCTGTAAATATGTCTTTAGGGTTATGGAAGTGAGGAATGCAACTGAGTCTGCAATATGAAGTCTAACAAACAAGGGTGTATTCATCTCTTGAGCCATTTAAACCCAGCAAAATTAAAAATAAATATTTTCCTGACACCACCACAAGAACTAAGCCCAAAATATGCACTTTTAAAATGCACAGTAGGACAATCTTTCACTAACCACCCATTAGACTTCTTATAATACTCAGTATAGACATTCTTCTATGAACTGGATTGATTTCTTCCACAGTTTAATTTGTTTTTGCCAAAGACTCTTAGATCAGTGTTGGCCACACGCCTAATGAAACAATCTCTTTTAAAGCCAAATCTGTTGTCTTGAGTTGCACCAGATACATTGTACTTAAAAACAAGGATAATGCAACCTGTGTTTAAGCCTTGAAAAATAATATTTAAAAAAAATCTCTCTTGCAAGAGTTAACTAAATATGTACAGGAAGTCCTCAACTTATTAACTGGTTGTGTTCCAAAATTTCATTTGTAAGTCGGTTGTTTGGAACTCAGAATGTGTTTTCCCATTGAAACAATGTTATAAATGGTGGTTAGGTTCTCAGGCTAGCCCACAAAAGACTATTTAACCCACAACATAGCTGAAATACTGTATATTTGCAATGAAAAATAGTAGAAATAGTTTTTTAAAAATGTATCCCTGAATGCTGGTGCTTGAGGAAAGGCAGGTTTAGTTAGAAGAGGATGAGAAGGTAGGTGGAGATTCTGAAGGGGTCTTTTGGGCATTCCCCTGCTGTCACCCCACCACTCTTGCAGGCTCTGCATTGGCTCCTGCAGGCAGTCCCATCCCCCCACATGGACTGCACCCAGCCTATCCACCCAGCTCCCACAGGCTGCAACCAGGCTCATCAGGGGAGTAGGCAAGAGGCACAAGTGGTATATATTGTCAGTTACTGAATTTACTTTTTGTCATCAGCAGAAGTGGGCTGTGCCCAAAAAACCTCATGATATTATCGATATATCTTTGGATTAGTCTCTAAGGTTCTACAGGACCATTGCTGGTTTTGAATTTACTCTGTTAGTCTACAGAACCTAATTTTAAAACAAATGTTAAACTTATTTCATTAGTGTGCTGCTAGTGATGATTATAAAATCACATCTCTAAAAAAATCATCATCCCCCTTGAGCTGCCTTTGGGCATAGGGGCACCAATTGAATAGCACTGCGTAAGGCCCCACAAATCCTAAGGATGGCCCTGCTTGAAGCTGCAGGTGAACTTTTGTTTGTGTGTGCAGATGTTTGTAAATTGGTCATTTGTAACTCGGGGAGTGCACAGGATGAGCATGCACACGTGCGCACACACACAGTGTGTAATGTTACAACTAAGATCTCAGGACAGAGAATTTTTTCATCTTACTTAAATATGTATTCTCAAAAGAAAATGTTATTTAAGTACTAGGATGTTAAAGGGAGCAGGTGTGCAGTTAACCACTGTGTAACTACCATGCCTATAGGAAAAAGATGAAGCATACTAGAAATGAAAAGTGAAATAAAATAGTTTTAACCACCTCAAAAGTAAGGGTCATCTCTATGCAGTAGCCATGTGATCAAAAGGCATTTCTCCAATTATAGGCATCAGTATTATATTTTAATGGGCACATTAACATGCATTATTCAATATATTTCTATAATTTACATTCAGTCAAATATTTGATAGATTTTTTAAAATAATTTTTGCCTTTAGCTTTTCAAAGGACAACTCTGATCAGCACCAAGTACAACTGGTAAATGGGAAAACAGAACTAAACAAGCCTCTCTGTTTTCTGCTTGAGTGCCACAGATTCAATCCCAGATGAAACAAGAATACCTGTGTAAGAAGTTGTCCATGCGTCAGATTATTGATCCAACGAGTATATCGTTCGGTGGAATCCAGTGGCTCTCTCCTGACTCTGCAACCTATAATCTAAAGCAAAATAAAAATCACAAACTGTCAAACCTTAGACATTCAGGGTACGTCTAAACTACATGGCTCCATCGACAGAGCCATGTAGATTTGTTTGTTCAGCAAAGGGAAATGAAGCCGCAATTTAAATAATCGTGGCTTCATTTAAATTTAAATGGCTGCCGTGCTGAGCCAACTAACAGCTGATCAGCTGTTTGTTGGCTCAGCGCACTAGTCTGGATGCTCCCCTGCCGACATGAAAGCCCTACGAGGCATAACGGGGAGGTCGATAAAGGGCTTTCAGGTCGGTGCGGGAGCGTCCAGACTAACGCCCTGAGCTGACAAACAGCTGATCAGCTTCTTCGCGGCTTCATTTCCCTTTGCCGATCAGCCTAATCTACATGACTCCATAAATGGAGCCATGTAGTTTAGACACACCCTCAGTCATCAATAGAAATAGCCGAAGTTGAATACAATTACACAAAAATCCCTCCATTACACATTACTATGGCTGCAACGTCAGTCACTCAAAAGTTAGAAAATGCCTAAATTATGGTTACCTTGCAACCTAAATTCATCCATGTGTGTATGCATTATGATACAGCTTTTAACTTACATACTGTTTTTCTCAAAACACACCTCCAGGTCCCTCTACCAATCCCCCCCTCCCCTCCTTTGCAGGCTCCTTGTCCCAGTCTGTTCCCCACCCGTTCATTTCCCCCCTGCTTTTAATTCAGGCAGCTTCTTACATCAGGCTACCTGACCTTGGCAAAGTAATTCAAAGAGCACAGGGCAGGCAGTCTCCTTGTTCCCATAGTTGGGACCCTCCTTCCAGAGGATATTATTGTATCCTCTTCAACTAAGGATACCTCTCCAGGGGAGGGAACTCCATTCCTTAGGAAAGGGCAGGTGTTAGTAATGGGGGATTAAATCATTAGAACCATAGATATCTGGGTTTGTGATGACTAGGAGAACCGTATGGTGACATGCCTGCCTGGTGTGAAAGTTGAGATCCCCTCAAGACATCTAGATAGACTTATGTGTAGTACTTGGGAGGAGCTGGTGGTCATGGTACATGTAGGTACCAATGACATAGAGAAGGGTAGGAGAGAGGTTCTGGAGGCCAAATTGCTAGGAAAGAGATTGAAATCCAGGACCTCTATGGTAGCTTTCTCTGAAATGCTTCCAGTTCCACGTACAGGGCCAGGTAGGCAGGCAGAGCTTCAGAGTCTCAATGAGTAGATGAGACGACGGTGTAGAGAGGAGGGGTTTAGATTTATTAGGAACTGGGGAAACTTTTGGGAAAGGGGGAATCTATACAGGAAGGATGGGCTCCACCTAAACCAAAATGGAACCAGACTGCTGGCACTTATCATTGAAAAGGTCGTAGTTTTTAAACTAAGGGCTGGGGGAAAGCTGATGGGTACGCAGGAGCACATGGATCAGACAGAGACCTCTCTTAGAGCAGATTAATAGAGATGCTCTATGTTCTAGTCAGGAGGAGAGGATGGAAGTATGGGTCGGATCAGATGAGACACAATCAAATGAAAAGGTGTATAACATATCAGGAAAAAGCAAACAGATAAATCACTATTTTAAAGTGCTTATACACAAATGCTGGAAGTCTACATAATGAAATGGGTGAACTAGTGTGCCTAGATTTAAAGGAGGATATCAGTATAACAGGCATCACGGAAACTTGGTGGAATGAGGACAATCAATGGGGGACAGTCATATCAAGGTACAAAATATATTGTAAGGATAGAACAGGTTATGCCGGTGGGGAAGTGGCACTATACATAAAAGAAAATGTAGAATCAAATTAAGTAAAAATAAATGACCTTATATGTTCCGTAGAATCTCTATGGCTAATTCCATGTTCAAATAATAAGAATATACCACTATGGATATGTTATCATCCACCTTATCAGGACAGTGATAGTGATTATGAAATGCTAAGGGAGAATAGAGAGGCTATCAAAATAAAAAAATTAATAATAGTGGGAGATTTCAACTATCACCATGTTCACTGGGAACACATCACGTCAGGACGGGATGAAGAGATAAAATTTCTTGATAGCTTCAATGACTGCTACTTGGAGAAGCTCGCTCTGGAACCCACAAGGGGAGAAGCTATTCTTGATTTAGTGCTACGTGAAGCACAGGATCCGGTTCAAGAAGTGAACTTAACTAGACCACTTGGAAATAGTGACCATAATGTAATAAAATGTAACATCCCTAAGGTGGAAAAAACACCTCAGCAGACCAACACTATAGCATTTAATTTCGGAAAGGAGAACCACACAAAACTGAGGAAGATAATTAAACATAAATTAAAAGGTACAGTGACAAATGTAAAATTTCTGCAAGCTGCATGGAAACTTTTCAAAGACACCATAATAGAGACCCAACTTAAATGTATACCCCAAGTTAAAAAAACAGTAAAAGAACCAAAAAAAAAGTGCCATCGTAGCTTAACAACCAAGTAAAAGAGCAGTAACCAATAAAAAAACATCTTTTAAAAAGTGGAAGTCAAATCCTAGTGAAGAAAATAGGAAGGAGCATAAACTTTGTCAAATTAAGTGTAAAAATATAATAAGAAAAGCCAAAAGGGAGTTTGAAGAGCAGCTAGCCAAAAACTCAAAAGTAATAGCAAAAGATTTTTAAGAACATCAGAAGCAGAAAGCCGGCTAAACAACCACTGGGGCCCTTGGACGATCGAGATGCTAAAGGAGCACTCAGAGATTATAAAGTCATTCCAAAGAAGCTAAATGAATTCTTTGCTTCTGTCTTCACAGCTGAGGATATTGCAGAGATTCCCAAACTTGAGCTATTCTATTTAGGTGACAAATCTGAGGAATTGTCCCAGATTGAAGTGTCATTAGAGGAGGGAGTAGAACAAATTGATAAACTTAATGGTAACAAGTCTGGGACCAGATGGCATTCACCCAAGACTTCTGAAACCTCAAATGGGAACTTGCTAAACTATTAACTGTGGTTTGTAACCTAGCCTTTAAATCAGCCTCCATACCTAATGACTGGGAGATAGCTAACATGACACCAATATTTAAAAGGGGGTCTATAGGTGATCCTGGCAATTACAGACCAGTAAGTCTAAGCCTTACTAATCTACATGAGTTCTTTCAGGGGGTCAACAAACATGTAGACAAGGGGGATCCAGTAGATATAGTGTACTTAGATTTCTAGAAAGCCTTTGATAAGGTCCCTCACCAAAGGTTCTTAAGTCAAGTAAGTTGTCATGGGATAAGAAGGAAGGTCCTTTCATGGATTGATAACTGGTTAAAAGACAGGAAACAAAGGGTAGGAATAAATAATAAGTTTTCTGCACGGAAAGAGGTAACTACTGGGGTCCCCCAAGGGTCTGTCCTGGGACCAATCCTATTCAACATATTCATAAATGATCTCGAGAAAGGGGTAAACAATGAGGTGGCAAAATTTGTAGATGATACCAAACTGCTCAAGATGGTTAAGACCAAAGTGGACTGTGAAAAGATTAAAAAAGATCTCACCAAACAAAATGCTTGGGCAACAAAATGGCAAATGAAATTTAATATTGATGAATGTAAAGTAATGCACATTGGGAAAAATAATCCCAACTATACGTTCAATATAATGGGAACTAAGGGTATGTCTACACTACAAAGTTAATTGGAACTAACAGCCATTAGTTAAGCCATTAGAACTTAATTCGAACTAGCGGTGCGCTTAATTCGAACTAGGTAAACCTCATTCCACGAGGACTAATGCCTAGTTTGAATTAAGTACAGGCAGTCCCCGGGTTACGTACAAGATAGGGACTGTAGGTTTGTTCTTAAGTTGAATTTGTATGTAAGTCGGAACTGGTACATATTGTAGGGGAAACTCTAGCCAAACATTTCTTCAGAGCTCAGTTTTATTCTCCCACACCTCACTTCCCTCAGTCCTTTATTCTCAAGCTGAGGTGTCTGCTGAGAAAAGCCACTCCGCATCTCCCTGGTCTGCTGGGGGGGA